TATTAAATCCCCCCTCTACCAGCAAGCCTCTCAAGTAACAACCGCTACTATAAAGTGTTTGATTATCTATCTTTTTACTTCTCAGTGATTTTTAATTTCCTTGACTTCAGCTTTTTATGTGAAGCACATCGACATTCACTGTCATGGGATGTTGTGTAATGAAATTTGCTGTGCTATTTCTTGGGTCATTAATATAAGTCTATACAAGTAGTGTGGATAAACCACAGTGCAGCTAGTTCATAACATTGCCAAATAGACAATTAAAACATTTGGTAACACATTATTACTGAAGGGTATTAATAATTAATCATTCCTTACACTTCTATTGCGCTTTTCTGGACTCTCCACTCAAAGCACTTTACAGGTAATGGGGCTCCCCTTCACCACCACCAGTGTGCAGCCCCACCTGGAGGATGTGACAGCAGCCATAGTGTGCCAGAACGCCCACCACACACCAGCTCTCAGTGGGGAGGAGAGCAGAGTGATGATGCTATTTCAAAGAAAGGGTGTTATTAGAAGCTGAGAGGGCACAAGTCCCATTTAAATAGTTGTGTCTTGTACAGTGAAGCATCTGAAAGAAACTCCTCGATATCCTTTAGTTTTCAGTTGATAATTTATTATAAGTTGTTGCATTTACAGTATATTGCATTTTTAAAGGCATTAAATGGTCATGTTTGCATTTGTAGCGTTTGTGCTGCTCCAGGTTTAGCTACACGAGCTATTCATATGACCAGCTCTTGTTTGAGAAACTGTTACTTAACACAAGAACTAATTGTTTGGCTTTGCTCTGGGGACTGCAGTCCAGGCTTGAACTTTCTGGTGAGCTGCTGCAAAGCTGTGTGTATTTGCACAGTATTTGTGGAGCGGAGGGAAGGACCACTTATCTTGATACACTTTCCTCTTTCAAAGGAACATCTCAAATAATTTGACTGTCTAAACTGGTTGTGAACACTGTCCCCCCAGAGGTAATGAGACTCGTGTGTCGTATTGAAAATACATTAACATGTTGTTGTAGTAAAGGTCCATAAATGTCTGCTAATACATAAGAATAATTAACATCTTGTCGTAAATGCCTGTACATCTTGTTTTAATTGTTATCGCTTTGATTACCCTGTAATTCTTTTGTCAGGTCAATAAAGCTCTTTCAGTTGAATCCACAATGAATGGAACAGCTGTTGCAACTGAAGGGAGGGGTGTTTGCATTTACAACAGATCCTTTTCAGAGATCCTGGAGAAACTAGTTGCCATTCAATTACAATCTCGTTTGTCCTCTGATGGCCTCTGTGAGCCCTTTCGGTTTGGTGTTCGACCAGTCCACAGCACAGAGACGGCCTTGGTCTCAGTTCGGCATGGCCTGCTGTTAAACTCGGGCTCTGGTTCTAGTCCTCTGTGAGATCTCGCAGCTGCCTACATGACTGTGAACCATCGCATCCTGCCAGGCTGCCTTGAGACCTGTACGTGTGTGGATGCAAAGGCTTTGAAGTGAGCCGAGGCAGGAGGACTAGCTTTTTGATGAGATTTGCGGATAGACAATTAAGCGTGATGTCTGAGTTTTATTTGTCAAGTTGGGCAGTTTGTTGCCGTCGATAATGCTGTGGAGTCCAGAATTTGACCCCCTCTCTTCAGGTCTCCCTGACTGTAGCCTTGCATTATGCCCTACTGTGAGAACTCTGGGAGGGGTCTTGGTTGATCTTAAACTCTCTTGTCCATATTCAGCCTATTCTTGATCACACCGCTGCAGAAAGCCCGATTCATGCCTTCATCACACCTCCACCGGATTACTGTCATATCCTTTACACTGGCTCCCTAGCCGCTCCCTCTGCAAGCTTCAGAATGGTCCACAACTCACCGGCTCAACCTCTAACGGGTTCTCTTATGTGCTCTGCTGAGGCACGCGGTTTTAGAAGTCACCTTCTTACAGGTGCAAGCGTCTCGGGGTGATGCTTTCAGCCGCCCTGCTCCCCGACTCTGGAGCTCACTTCTTGCTAATTTGAGAAATGACAACTCTTTTACAGCTTTTAAACCTAGAATAAAGACTTACCTGTTTAGGCAGGCTTTTTTAGTAGTTTGCCTTTTCTCTTCTTGTTGTGTTTTTATCTCTATCTTTATTTCTGTTAATCATTTTTTGTATTTTTCTTCCTTCTCTTTTATTTTTACAGGGTTTTGCTTTTACCCTGCAAAGTACCCTGATCCCTCTTGATGTACAAGGGCACTGAAATAAATCCCTCTTGTTGTGAGGTGCTTGTACTGTAACAGGAGAGTTTGGAAGCAGAGGCTCTCATTGCTGTCCTGTCCTCTCACCTGCCTGGATCGGCTCATTTCCAGGCCCTAACTGCATCACCACCAGGGTCACCAGAGGTGCATCATCAGACGGTGCCACTGTAGTGACCAGTCCACAGGCGCACTTACTCAGTCTGTTGCATAAAACTGCTTCTAGTGAAAATTTATAGCTGCCTGCTGAGTTTCGGAAATTTTTGGGAATGCAAAAATCTCGGAAGGTGTTGAAGTGAAACGGGGAAAAAAAAAACTACTCAGGAGCACGATCGCTGGCAGCCTCTCTGCTGACGCCGGCTGAGCTGTCTCTGCAGGGGATGTTTTGTGCTGGAGTTTCTGACAGAACGCCTAAATTTAGATCAGAGACGGCAATTAATTTGTTAAGGGGGGTTTGCGCGTGTCACTTACCTTTACATCTGGGTGAAGCATTTTCTTTTAACGCAGTTCTGGTCAGGAAAATGTTCCGTTCACTGGGAGTGTGAGTCACTGAAATGCGCTCGTCTGTCCTTTGACTCGAAGGCCTGCAATTAGAGAATATGTCAGAGAGGTGGGGGCAGTGTCTTGGTGGTGGGGGGGGGGAGGTGTGTGGTCTTCGTGCTCGGGCGATGGGGAAGCCGGGCTGTGAGACCAAGGGCCCGTTGCCACAAGCAGGGGGTTAGCCAGGCCTGACCTGCGTCACACCCTGCTCTGCTCTGCCCTCACCCGGCCCGTTCTTGGCAGCCTCAGAGGCACACGGACAATCCAGTCAACCCGGTGGACATCTTCAGGGTCAACAGGGAAGCACGATCCAGAGGGCAAAAGTGGAACCTAAGGCAAAGTGCTTTAAAAACCCAGAACAGGGGACACTTCTTCACACAAAGAGTGGCAGGAGCTGGGAACCAGTGATTTAATTAACTACTCACTACCAAGCGGGCTAGATGAGCTTAATGGTCTGCTCTTGATCGCACCTATCTTATATGTGTTCATATACAGTACACTACTGTACATTTCTTTACTGTTATTCTTAGGATGAAAGAAATCTAATCTAATTTCATAATCCCTCTCTTGTGGGCTCATGAGTTCTTTACCTGCGTGACATCTCCTACTGAAACGCCTGCACCTGTTGTTACCTGTCGTGAAGTCGGAGCTTGAAAGACGATGAGTTGTGGAAGTGTGTGTTGGGGCCGATCGAAGACCCACGGCCGTTCTCTTTTTTACCGAGTGGCGGCTGCCATTAGAGGAAGTGGTCTTTTGGAAAAAAGATTCACTGGGAACTTGAAGTGTGTGAACAGGTTAAGTGGGTGCCTGACTCGGGCTCAGTGCTGTCCTGGATGGGCAGAAGATGAAGAGCGTGCTGAGACATAATGGCTGCAGCTGGTAACATCATGAGCGGTGGCGCTAATACCTGTATATTAAAACCCTGCTGGCCAGAGGCACGGGGTTTGTATTTGAAAAACATTTCATAGTGTATCAGACACAGTTCACCCCTTCGTTTGCATCAGAGTGACTGAGGTTTTCTCTTGTGGCTGAGCTGCTGCTGGGGAGAATCTCTTATAGAGCCACAGCTGACCTTGTTGTGATCAAATCTTTGTACACTGAGGGCTTAACCGTGACCATCTGCCTCATCTGCCTCATGATGGAGCAGACAGTTCATCCTGAAGTCTGTTCACAGTCCAAGGAAAGTCTGAGAGGCTGTTTGGATTCAGTCGGGAGTCTGCTCTGGACCTGCAGTTTGGAGGTCCCCACACTTGGAAATGACTAGGAGTGTGAAGGAGACTGAGACACTCTAGCACAGCTGAAGATCCCCTTGGTGTGTCAGAGGAGCGACTGAGACAGAACGAGAGATGCCAGGCACTGATAAGACATGCTGCCAGTTCTTTGTCTCCAGGCACTGATAAGACATTCCCCCCAGTTCTTTGTCTGGATGCAACAAAGGTTTCTGGGCGAAAGCGATGGAGCTCAAAGACAGTGAAATGCCACCATGCTAATTAAAGCTATGTGGATTTCTCTGGGTGACTCACGCTGTGTCAGTCAGCAGCCACATAAACAGTGTTTTCCAGAAAGGGCAAGTGCAGAAATGAAGGCTTTGTGTGCTGGGTTTTGTTTCCTGAAATAGCAAGCCTTGTGGTGCTCTTGCAATAAGAGCTATCATCTTCAGAAAAAGCCAAGACGCAGGTTTGCAACTAGCATTTTTCTCAGCCTTTCCTCTGCTGGGACATTTGTCATACAGTTGCCATCTGCAGTTGCTGACTAAGCTGAAGCATGGCTTTGTGCAAATGTAGCATACTGTATACTCGGCCCTGGGTTTTCACTGGAGGCTCTTGTGGTTTGTGTTTACACCATTCCTGTCTGCTCGGAGGTTGAACTTGGTCTACCTGCGTTGTGTCTTATCTTTATCATGGGTCACCCAGGCTGCGACTTGCAGGTCTGTAGCTGCGCTGGAGTCATTATGGAGCCCGTAAGACCTTGTAATTAAGACGTAATACCTGAAGAAGCATTCTTACCCTTTGAGAACCATTATTCTTCCAGTAACAACAAAGGTTAGATGGCCAAGGCATGGCTGAGGGCCTCTTCTCCTTAACAGGGGACGCCGGTGATTTGTAAGAGGCACAGTACAGTACGTCAGTGCATTGCACCTTATCATTACTGTATTTTTAAGACACGAGACCTAATTTTGTTTAAGTGAACTGTACCCTTAAATAAGGTAAATGAAAATTATAATGCTCTAAAATGAGTTTTTAATTATATAAACACTGGACAACAGGGCATCTTGTGTTGGCACTTGGATTGAAGCTTTGTGCTGTGGTGTCGCAGTTTCTGGGCACACTCCAGTTGTGGATCTCAGTCAGACTGTATGCAGACTGGGCTTGCAGTCCAAAGGTGATGGGCTGCATGCCCAGTGCGTAAGGAGCATGACACCCGCGTGTTACTCCTGCTCATTGCAATTCTGTGGGAGTGTCCATTACAAGTGTTCATTAAAAGTTGATGCCTGTTATGCATAATTTAATATACAAAGCTTGAAAGAGTGCTGTTTGAGTGGCAATGAGGCGTGATGAATTTTGGCATGTAGCTACGTTGTACTGCGTTCAAATACACATTCAAAGAGCTTTAGGTTTCTAACCACTTCACCCAGTTCAGGGTGGGGAGCTTAGACCCTGTCTCTGTGTGGGGTACACCTGGACAGGACACCAATCCATCGCAGGGCACACACTCTCACACCTAGGGACAATTTTCCAAAGAGCCAGTTAACCTGCAATGCCAGTATGTTGGTATGTACTGTAGTGCCTCTGTTTCTAAATCAGTCAGCTGGAATGTTTTTGTGTTTCTTTCTTAATTACTGTGCCTGCTTTATTGTTCCCATTGGAGCTGTTTCTTTTAACATGCTTGTTAATGTGTAAAGCCTCATGTCGGCCTGTGTGTGTTTAAGTGGGCAGGTATTTAAGAGACGGGAGCCCTGGGGGGGGGGCTGCCTCTTGCTCTTCGGTAGTGTGAGGGCAGAGGTAGACCACGTGAGCAACCCGAAGACACTGTTGAACAGCTCAGGGCAGTTGCCCGGTTTGTTTTTGACACTGTAATGTTATTCAAACATTTCAGCCAAGTTTTTTTTTTTTTTTTTTTTTGAGGCTGCAAAGCCAAGGCTTTAAAAAACCAAAAAATTAAATCCTTTAAGCATGAAACAGATTGGTCATTACCCACTTCAGTGCGCTGTGTCTGGTCTAATTCATGCAAATTAAAGCTGGGCATGATAATGAGATGCAGGATAGAAGTGTGTAACGAAAGCTGTCCCTCAGGTACAATAAACTGCTGGGGTGCTGAATGATTTCAAACCTGGCTCCTCACACTCAAGCACAATGGAACTGTTTTTTTCCCCCACTTTATTTCTCACAGCATTTCATTTTCTATGCCACTGTCTGCTACCTGAACATACCCAGTCTTAACTAGAATCACCTGATCTCCCACCTGCCTCCTTCACAGACCCAAAATCACAGACTGATGAGCCTCCTTTTTGCAGATGTCTTCTTCAGCTTTTATCCCTGTGGGGGGCGTCTCTAGCTTGTCTGATTGCTGTTAGAATATGGAAATGATCTGAAATAATTGCAGTGTGTTTTAGATACTAACATAGGAAATACTGTATGAGATTTTACACACAGCTCTTGTATATTGTATGTTTGGTGATGCAGGTCTATACAGGTTGGTGTCAGTGAAGAAAGCACTGCTTTGCGCTTTACACTTCACAATTAGAGGCACGGTATGCAAGCAACGGGTGATCATTCTTAGTACTACGACTGAATATCTCAGCAGTAGTGAATGCCTGTGGTAGATATTTTATAAAGTCTTTTTCACAGCTGTAAAGTTATTTTATTCAGCAAGGGTCCTACATAGATTGCAGTTGAAGGGGGCTGCAGTCGGAGGGAGGGCATGGAGACCAGTGCTGGCGCTAGCTGGTGGCATCTAGCTGCAGGGCTGTGGTGCTGCTTTAAGACCGTTAATAGGAGCCATGGCTCTGAAGCACAAGGGAGGCTCGCCCGTCCATCCTCTGCTTCGCTGCGTGCTTCAGAAGAATGTGCAGGTTGGCGCTCTGTTCTGCAGGACTGGCTGCTGTCTGCCCGACTACACCGGCTCAATACCGATACAGTTTGCAACAACTGCCCTGGTGGTATTAGAAGCAGATGCTGCAGCGGGACCCTTTCATAAGCAGTAGCTGGTCAGGGCTCTGGGTCGTGGGTGGGAGGCATCCTGCTTTGCTCGTGTTGTCCCAGTAAATACCCTGCCGTAGAAACGGAAGCTCCGCAGGCCGTTATTCTTGCACGGCTGACCTAGCTGGTCAAACTAAGAGTGAAGAGATACAGTAAATAAGAACCTTTCAAGCGAAGAAGAATCCCTGTGCTGTGAAATGATTCTCTGAGGAATCTCAGAGGATGAACAAAAAAAAAAAAAAACGTTTCGGCTTTTGAAAACTGAAAAGCATATCCTATCTGTCTAAATCCCAATAAACTGCAGCTGTTTGTCCTCAAATGCCTCCTTTATCCCCACTGTTCCTGCCTTTGTGAAGCTCACACGCCTGGACTGCCAGCAGCGTGGCTGGTCCTCTTCTCGTTGCCTCCCGGTCAGGGATGCGTTTTAGGGTAGAATTCCGACATTCCCACCTTCACTGGGCCTGGGGAAAATTAAAGGCGTGCAGCGTGCTGTACCCGACAGGGTTGATGGTGCCGGGAGGCGGGCCAGCGTTGGGTGTTGCAGCAGTACTGACCCACAGGTCTTGCGCTTTGAAGTGAGCTTGACTTGCACATGTGTTCCCCTCTTTGCAGGACCCCAGGAGCAAGCACAAGTTTAAAATCCACACCTACGGGAGCCCGACGTTTTGCGATCACTGCGGGTCGCTGCTGTACGGCCTCATTCACCAGGGGATGAAATGTGACAGTGAGTGTTCCTCCCGAAAACCCGCAGCAGCTCCTCTGGCAGGTGGCCGAGGCCCGTGGGGCCAAGCAGTCTGCGCTCGTCCCGGCGAGGACGCGGCAGGCGGTCCCGTCCTTTCCCCTTCCCTGCGCCGAAGACGATCAAGCGCTTTTGTTATCAGCCGATAATGATTCTCTGTATAACTGTCATAATAGAATAATAATGACAGTGATTGAGAATATGCAGTGCGTGGGGCAGGTTCGCAGCCGGTTCAATGTGTTTTCTTGCCTCGAAGGAGAGTAAATTGTCACATTATTCACGCAGTCAACGCGGGGGTCGATAGTTTTATAGGATTGCGCTGTTCAACTGAGCAGAGAAGAGCCCAACAAGGCAAGGCCCTTCACTTCAGAGAGCGGCCTGTTTTTTTTCCCCTGTCTGGATGTCTGTCAGTGTGTGTGTTGGCATGTCAAGAGCTGCAGTGCTGCGGAGGTGAGTCACGACCGTTAACACGTCCATCCTCTGTGAGGACTCCGTGCCGCCTGGGAGCCTTTCATACTTGGGTTCCTTACAAAACTATTTCTTGGTAAGCGTTAGTGTGCAAAGTGCCGTTTGTTCGTGCTGGTTAACAGCGGAGAGAGGATCTGCTCCAACCTGCATGGCCGTGATTGTTACTGGTTTCTCATTCCTCTTTCTTCTCCCACAATCCCTTTAACGGGATCATTATTCACAGTGGAAATAGACTTTTTCAAAGACGATTAGCATGTTTCACTCAGGTGAACATGACACACGGAGAGAAATTGGTATTGGGTCAGATAAATAGACATGCTTGCTGTTAATAATTTTTCAGGAGCTTGAAGGTTATTGTCTGGTAGCAGCGTCTAAACCGAAAGGACTGGCCCAAGGGTGTTTTGCATGAGAGCAAGTAATGAAGCCCAACATAATTCAGGTGGTGGGAATATCTGTATATTCATTACATTGGATTGCTATTTCTATTTGTAAGACAAAGGCACTGATGCCAACCTTGGGCTCTGGAGCAGAGAGGAGCTGAGAGTTAGATCTGACTCTCCCTGCCTGGGGTCTATAGCTGAAACCCCTGCCAAGAGGATTAATATTACTTGCAGGGCACCGAATTCCAAAACTGTAATTAAACCCCTGCGCTCTTGCTGCCAGAACACTGTCTACCTGCAGCACGAGGTCCTTTGTTCCACGTCAGGGCCCTAATTCCTCTGTGAGAAGCCTCTACAGTTTTTTCTCCTGCACAGCTCATCGCATGAAAAAGGGGCAACCTCGTGCACGTCCCTCTTCTCTGACACAGAGGTGCTGAAAGTGACTCTTTCCTAAGACTTGCTTCATCTCCACAGCTTTGTCAGGCCTGGTAAAAAGCCCAAAGCCCAGATCAGTAACAGCACTGTTATGTTGCTGCAATAGTCTTTAATGGGCAGATTCTCTAGAAAATGTGCTTTTCACTGTACAGTACAGTATGTGCATTCCATGCAGTTGGCTGCCCTGTGAGTATGATAAAAGAGAAGCACAAGGAGTTGCACCAGCTTTAGACCAGGTGTGATTAAGTGCAGGAATCCCAGCTGAATGATTCGTTCTTGCCGTTCAGTTACCAGGCCCTCTGTTTCTCTCTTGCCAGCGTGTGACATGAACGTTCACAAGCAGTGTGTGATGAATGTACCCAGCCTCTGCGGCATGGACCACACGGAGAGGAGGGGGCGGCTCTTCCTGAAGATCGAAGTCAATGGAGACATGCTGCACGTCACAGGTTGGGAGCAGGGATTGTGGGATTGCGGGATTTTAATCCTCAACAGGATGGCGGCAGTTCACTGTAGACCGACTTGTTCTTCACAGGTTCTGGGGACACCTAGGCGGTCCTTAGTTCAGCTAAGGAAGCCAACAAGTGCAAACAAAACTTCTCTCTCCGATGTGTGTAAAATCCACACTAGTGTGCAGCTGACAGTTTTGTGTTCATAAATGGTTCTGCCACAGATTTATTTCGGATCGTTTCAAAAAGATTTTTCGAAACTCTAAACTGTGATATTTAGCGGAATGTTTGCATTTAAATTAGGTGTCCCTAATTGGAAAAACGAGTCCCTCAGCCTGAAAATATTCATAACTCTACTTTCATCAACGTGCAATTAACCAGCGGCACGACAGAGCTCGGTTTCTACAAGTTAGTGATTCTCTGCGAATGCTCTCTTTCTGTATTACAGGTTATGAAAAATGTATAAAAGCCATTTGCAGCCCAGGGTGAGGGATATTACAGATATGAGCGCTGTAACAGCCTGCAATGTCAGTGGCTGGCCTTTGTGGACAGGTTTTGTGTTTTCTAAATAATCCAGAAGCTATCCCTTAATCTAGGTTGAAGACCTCATACGCCGCTGTTCTGCGCGAGCGCTGCGGCCGGTAGTTTGTATTTTCTCTGGGGCTGGGGGAAGCTGGGGTCCGAGGCGGAGGAGATGGGAATCGGTGATAAGTGGAAATGAAAGAAGGTCGGAGGAAATGAAAGACTGGGACCGGAAATGACAGCGTGGCCGGTGCTTCGGGAGAGAAAGGAAAAGGAGGGAGAGAAAAAAAAAAGAACTTCAGCCCAGGGAAATGAGCAGGATGAGCAGGATGTGGCTTCTGCTTTAATCGTGTGAAAAGCCAACCTTCCAGAAAGTCAAATACCTGGCACAGGGCTGGACATGGGGGTTCAGCACCATCTCCCAGATCATCAGCTTCTCTGGTAGCGGGGTGCAGGAGGGAAGCTGGAGGTCGTTCAGAGCAGTGGCCCAGGTGCAGCGCTGTGTCTTTTTGCTTGTGAGCTCTGTTGCTTGTGGTCCCCGTTTCTGAGAGCTGATGTGATGGCATGGTGTTGGATTTAGAGCAGTTCTTTTATTATGTGGGGTACTAAGAAGTAAATTGTTATTGACGGTGCAGTGTGTGTGTGTTGGTGTTTTAGTCTCCTAGGAACCCAGATTCCCCCTGACGTGCTCTAATGCAACTGCGTCATCAGTGTTTCCTGAGGAGTTATTGGCTTGTTAGTCTGAGGACTGTAAAGGGTGAAAATGCAGATGTTTGTCTCAGTACCGATGGGCTGTAAAGCTTACTAATCTCCATGTGGCTTCCTAGATGTTTTGTTTGCTTCAGGATTTTCAGTCTGGTACCGTGCACATGATTAGTGTGTGTTGTCTGTGAAGGGAGAGAGGGAGATCTGCTCTGAGGGCTGTGAACGATACGAAGAGTGATGCGAGCTGGAGGAAAGTCGATACTCATTACAGCTGAGCTGCCGGTGTCTACTCCCACAGAAGAAAGGCTCAGTGTTGGTGCAGTTCAGTGTCCGCTCTGCATTAGAACATCTGTGTACATTGTCTGTCTGAGAGTGAGCTCTTTGCATTGCATTTTCTGACTGTTTCCGAATGAAGTTATGAGTCAGTAAGGCACAGACATTTTCCCAAATGTAAGTTAGCAAATGGAACCATAGACAAAAATACCCAAATCTCCTGAAATGTAGAATGTAAGACTTTAGATTCTGAGAGGACTTGCTCGCCCAGTTGCACTGTATCAGTATAACCTTGTAGCAGCTACCATTCTGTGCTGCATCAGTCCTGGATAAATACAGCTTGGTGTACTGAGACTCTGCATCCACCTTAGATTAACAAGCCCAGAGAATATCCTGGCCGAAACCTGAAACTGGCACTGTATAATCAGTAATGGTCAGTAGTCACTGTTGATTTCACACCTGGTAAAGCAACCAGTTCCCTTGTGCACTTGGAAAGTTAGAAACCACTGGCGTATAGGACAGCAGTGTTGGTCCAAGCAAAGACAGTGCATCACTTTGGTGATGCCATTGTGCTTTGAGGAGCAGCAGAATCAGATTTTACTTTGTCCAAAGACAATGGAAATTTTCTTTTGGTGTCAATGAGACAACAATAATACTGTATATACAGAGTACATAAAACCATCCAGTGGGATTTTACAGATGTATACAAGCAGTGTAATATAAATAACAATACTATACAATACAGTGCAGTACAAAAACATAAGATTCAACTGTGACATACATACTGTATACTGTATACAGTCCTTGCAATGCTGTGAAGGGGCTCATTTTCAAAATTTAAAATGGAATGGAACTTGGAATGCATGACATGTTAAAATATTTTCTGTAACTTTGGTACTTTGGAACTTTGTCCAGACGGTAATTTTTAAAATTGGGAGTGTGGAGCATTGAAGGTTGTGTTTTTAAAATGTCTTGAAACATTTTAACAAAGTTGTTGGTAATTAGTAAAATAATCTGCAGAGTTAAATAAAAGTGCTGCAGTAGTGTGTCTTGAAATGGAATTCTTAAAAATTCTCAAGGGCTGTCAGTATGATAACACATGTGCCTCTTTCAACAGTGCACCTGTGACCTTGTGGGTCACTCTAGGATCCTAGAGATTCATAGACTAGTGCTATAAACTCTGGGTAAGGTGCTTGCTGTGTGCTGCCAGTCAGCTCACTCTCCCTGTACGTCCACTCAAAATCAGACTAAAAACATACAAGGTTGTCCATGTAAATAATAATAATAATAATAATAATAATAATAATAATAATAATAATTGCTTACACTTATGTAGCGCTTTTCTGGACACTCCACTCAAAGCACTTTACAGGTAATAGGGATCCCCTCCATCAGCACCAGTGTGCAGCCCCACCTGGATGATGCGACGGCAGCCATAGTGCGCCAGAACGCTCCCCACACATCAGCTCTCAGTGGGGAGGAGAGCAGAGTGATGAAGCCAGTTCATAGAGGGGGATTGTTAGGAGGCCATGACTGGTAAGGGCCAATGGGAAATTTGGACAGGACGCCGGGGTTACACCCCTTCTCTTTTCGAGAAACACCCTGGGATTTTTAATGACCACAGAGAGTCAGGACCTCGGTTTTACGTCTCATCCGAAGGACGGCACCTGTTTACAGTATAATGTCCCCGTCACTATACTGGGGCATTAGAACCCACATGGACTGCTGGCCCCACTAACACCTCTTCCAGCAGCAACCTTAGCCCATCACAGTCACAAACACCAGCAGTCCAGCCCAGAGTGAGTGAGAAAGGAATAACAGGCAATGAACATGAGAGGAAAGCCCTTCGTAACGGCTGAGTAACCGGCCTGTGTGCAGTATTTCCTGGAGAGAGAACATTGTCAGCCACATGTTCTCTGGCCCAGTGCGCTGATGTAGACAGGTATTGATTTCTCATTGGCAGGCCTGGCTGGTGAAAAACATTGCTGATTAATCTTATCTGTTCCCATCAAGGTAAGAATTAAATCTGAATTGGATTTGACTTTCTATTAGGGGCACAGTGGAATTCTGTTTGCATTAAAATGCTTTTCATGTCCTCCGAACAGCTGCACGCTGATGATAACCACAGAGCAGTCATAATTTTAAAAACAGCGACCATTGGAATCATTTACCCTGCTGACCAGTCTTTCTTCACAAATCCCCTCTTCGTTGTGTGCACAGATGTTCATTATACACACATAACCAAATTGTATGATTATTGGATGTATAGAATGACGTGGTAACTTTTTTTATACTACAGTGCCATGCAAATGTATTGCAATTAATATTCTAAAATAAACAGTACTGTTGAACTGTTTCACAGTGCGTGTGGTCACTTGAGATCACAGTGTTTACCCAAAATGTATGGTACAGTATATTGTACTTATCATTCATATTCATCTCGCTATCACACATATAAATTGCTTCATACTAGAAACATTTGAATACATTTGGTTTTGCTATTTTGGAGGGCACTGTATATATCGCCTTCTGTGTACAACATCATGGAGATTCTTACAAAATAGAACAGATACAATAGTTTTCCATGGAAAGTAAAAAAAAAAGGAAAACTGTTGTAAAGAAAAGCTCATTTCAGTGAGTTAATAATAATGGTGGTATTTATTTTTGGTCTTGTTACTTATTTAGGTTGTGAGGTGTTGGCATAATGTTTTAACAAATGTGTGTGACCTTTTTTTAATAAGCAGACCATACTTTTTTTTTCACTTAGTACACCAGCCTGACTTTGTCTTCTGCAGCAGTGTAAGTGTGCTCCCAGTGAAACAATGGTTATTGAAATTGCAAGAGCTATCAAACAGGGGAAACCAGGGGATGACAAAGGGCTGTTTTCCTTCAGACCTCTGTGACTCATAATCACAAGTCAAAGGAAACAACTTCTTAGAGGCTGACCTGTACAGTAACTCGTATTTCATCTGACACGCCGAGCTGGGGAGAGAGCTCCAGAGAGCCCCGGCTGAGGCTCCAGAGAGGTGCAAGCTCTCCATGTACAGTAGCTGATATCCTACCCTCAGGCCCCGTGAAAGTGGTTCATGGTTGACTGCACCCTCTGTGGACAATTGCTCGCGTTTAAAACTTAAGTTGATTGCGGGCTGTGTCAGATAGCGGAGCAGTTGGGGTTAAGGGCCTTCCTCAGGGGCCCAACGGAGTAGGATTCCTCTGCCGGCTGCGGGATGCGATCCTTTAGTGTTTAGCTTCAGTGGGATGCCAGCCTTGAGTTGCAGGGTGATAATATTTGCTGGTCTATACTGAAGGCTTTTTCACCGGCCTTTCAATTTATTTTCTTTATGAACAATCGCCATTTTCAGATTTAAAATAGGAAAAAGTCTCTGGGAGTTAGACATTTACAGGGCTAATTGAAAGGCTTTTTTGTTTAGAATTGAAAAAATATTGGTGTATAGCACTACAGTTGGGCAGGATAAGGAAAGACAAAAATGAGACATTGT